TCTGTGTGTGTGTTTGTGTCTCAGTGTGTGTGTCTCAGTGTGTGTGTGTGTGTGTGTGTGTGTGTGTGTGTGTGTGTGTGTGTGTGTGTGTGAGTGACACATTTTGCTAACAGACAGGCAGGTTTGATTTCAACATTAAAAACAGTAAGTCCAACCATGGGTGATGAAAGTTCACAGAATGCTTACATTCATAGAAATAAAAAAATTAAGAGTAGCACAATAAATGCCTGTTGGCAAACTGTTAAACAGTAATCTATAGCAATGGCCTAGACAAGCAAAGACCTTGTTTTAACTTTCACCTTGATTTGTGACCTTGACCTTGAAGCAAATGTGAACATGAAACTCTGTCGAGTGATGATGCATATGCATAAAAAGTATAAATAAATTATCTTGAGCTAAACTTATGGGTGTGACAAGAACGTTTGCGTACGTACCGACGGAGAGTACTCTGTCTGATGGGTGTAAAATGATGCCTGGATGGTGTTTGGAGCTGTAAAACAGCACTTTGAGCTCACACTTGTGAATTCATAAGAAGGACCAGGAAACATATTGAATACCTTATCTAACAAGTTTTAAAAAAAACTTTGTTTTTGTTTTTTTGGGGTAACCTTTGTATTAAAACATAATTTACCCTAAATGTGTTTTCACCCTTTTGTATTTAAACATCTAAAATTTGAAAAGGGAGAAGCGGGTAAAGGTAATGGATGGATGGATTGACGGATGGATGGACGAATGGATGGAAGGAAATCAGTTTGGCTTTTTTGTTTGAAATCTATTTAAAATTTCTGTCCAAGAATGTCTCTTCAGCAGAGGAGATGGAACCTGAAGCAATATCAACAACAACAACAAATTCATAATAAATCAAAAAAATTACATCTATTTTTATCTTGTGTGAGTCTCTTTTCCCCTCCCCTCCTGACTTGTCACATTACCATGGAGGCAGGCGGGCTAATTAAATACGAGCTGAGAGCTGATGCGTGACTGTGTGTCATTCGATCTGTGTCTGACCCAGCACACTGCTGCCTCTGGCTAAAACATTACCAGGGGAGCACTGGGACCTCCACTGTTTCTGGTCGCTTTTGTAAGCCCACTGCTTTTAATATAGCCTCCGCTCACACTAAAACAGTTGAATGGAAATAGTCAGTCTGCCTAAAGCCCAGAGAGACTACTCACATGCAGCCTGCTCATGGTGCTGTGTAAATTAATGAGGGGGAAAGGGGATATTGCAACCTGAGCATGCTCATTTGTCTGTGTTTTGAGTGCTCGGTGTGTGCATGTGTGTGTGGTGTGTGTTTTGAGCAGAACCACCTGCTGAACTGAGACCCACAAACTGAATCTATACTCAAAGATAGTATCTCACTGAACTGATACTGTTGGTGACTAGATGGTGAGTGAATTCACAAGGGAGTCTCCAAAAAGTCTTAAAGTGTTATATTTGACAAAGACACGATAAACACAGTGCTCTGTGACTGATGTCATGGATGATAAGGTATTAACTATTAACAACTATTAGAAAGAACACTTCAGAATAACTGGACTACTGTATTCCCTTTAAGTTAGTGTCTCACTGGGTTGCAACTGTTGCAGACTAGCTGGCGACTCAAAATTACAAGACAGTCATTAAGACAATATGCAAATGTTGTGGATGAGCGTTTGCAACCAAGCAACTAACCAATCAGGTATCTTTAAAGATCATGGCCAAATTCCATAAGTACAGCATGCAAAACTTTGTTCTGGGATGTGGACATGATTTTGTTGCCCACCTCAGCCCCCATCATACACACTTTGCACCCATGCAACTTGGCATCCGCTCCTACGTATATGACTTAATGTGCTGGAGTACACTTAAGGAATGAACACTGGCAGATTTGACTTGCCTTTTTTCAATAATTAGTTATCAATGGCATGGTTAGATTTGGACATTTGGAATGTGTGGCCACACAAACACAGGCTAGGATTTTTAAAAACTGGTCACTTAAACACGGCCACACAACTTGCTCTTTGTCCCCAAAAACTTAAGGCTTTTGAGACTATGGTAGTCTCTCGTTTATCGCGGGGGATCCGTACCCTGAAGCCCTGTGATGAGTGAAAAGCTGCGAAGTAAGAAGAGTAATACAAGAAGTAAGTAGTAGTTTATTTTAGTACACTATATATATATATATATATATATATATATATATATATATATATATAT